TGGGCCTGAAAGGCCCGTAGGAATGATGTAAAATATTAAGGAAGGTCTGACTGACAAAACTGAAGTAATGCTACCAGTGACGGAGTAAAAAGCAAGAAGGTTCTCAGCTGTAATGGGAGCAGCTCGCCATTCAGAAGATGATGGAGCCTGGCAGTCAGTTCCTGAAGGAGAAGAGCCCAGGAGCCCACGGTCCAGACACCCGAGCACTGTGCGCTGTGAGCACAGTCCGTGCACTTACTTCATGCGCACTCTGTCCGGAGCAAGAAAAGACTACTGTTCTAAGTCGGCAACTTCGCACATTTTACCCAGTGTCTCTGGGCCCGGGTGATCACAAGTTACATGCAATGTGCTTCAGGACCTGGACTGTAAAGTTTATTTCATCAATTACAGAGTTCTTGAATTCAAAGGAGACTTAGCTGGTTAGTAATCAATTCTCTTCTGTGTATTAATTAAGCAAGACGGTTAAAAAATAAGCAACTAAAGCCTGGAGATACGTGTAAACGTGAGAACATGCACCGACTAGGGCCTGAGCCTTGAGACAGCGCTTACATGGCTGAAGTCAGAAAATGGCCTGGTCCCAGCGCCAGCACCACGACTAAATGATGCGTGTTGTGTCTACTCTTCCATCTACACCTGAACCAGGGGTCCTCGTATTTCTCCAAGGGGACCAGCCCATCCCTGTAACTATACCAAATGCTTTAAAGGCAACAAATATTATTCTTCACAATAGAATTAAACAAAATCCTTAACCATAATCAGTGTTCCTCCCTACTGTATGTCACTGGACGGTCTTAAGATCCATGCTAAATTTAAGTACCTGAGTGAAACAGATTAAGTTTTTCTTTCAAAGGTTTTGCTCCTTTCTAATTAAAGGTATGGCTGAAAGGGGCCCCATGCTTCAAGCACCCAGCTGCATCCGTGACACACTGAACAGTAGTGCAGCTGACAAAGGATATTGGACGATTACGGTCTGGCATTTGTACGCCTCGATGAAGTCGTGGTTGCTCACTGCGTATGTGCACCTGCAAAGGCAACGTGGAGCCTGAGGACTGATGGGACCACGGGCCTGCCCCCATCACAGCACCTGCTCTCGCCTGAGCCAGGGTCGAAGCTGGAGCTGCTGCTGGGCAGGTCATGAAGACGCCCACAAGTGACCTGGTGCAGGAGGAAACCCCGCAGCGTCCCGAGCCTGTTCCTTCAAGTCCTATGAGAAGCCGAGTTGCAGCAGGTTTCACAGTAACACACTAGTGGCCCCTTTGCAGCATCACGGGGCAGGCTAGGCACTCTAACCAGACATGGCAGAGTCCATCACCAAACCTAGAACCTCATCACACATTGCCCAGACTGAGGAAGTTGCAGTGAGCCCCATGCCACAAGGAACTCAGGGACACCCCGTTTCCAGAGACCTGCCAGGGCTCCCAGGCCCCCACACCTTGCCCCGCAGCCCCGTCTGCTCAGAAACACTGGTGAGATGTGGGCAGGAGGACGATCAGGGGCTACACAATTCAGGACCTGGGGCTTCGCCTGACGGGGCACGAGAGGCGGAGGCGGTAGATGTGACACCTGAGTAAAAAGCACTCCTTCATTTGCTCGGCCCTGTTCTGGTTTCTTTCCCAGAAAGGCAAAGAGGCCAAAAAATAGGCATTTCCATGGACACCCCAGGCGGGCCCTACACCCTACTGAACAGAAGACCACGACCCCGCCAGCAGGACGCACATCACCGTCTATCCATAGCACTACACAGCGGCGCAGCAAGATGTGCGACCACACTCCCACTGTAACTTAAGAACATACATGATCCCGGAAATGAAAACGCTTACTAAGATTTTAAAGTATTTTAAACTTCACAAAATTTTCACAGGTTTTACCAAAATGAAATTACAAACACACTTTTCTACTTTTTCAAAGGAGATTTTTCACTGCTTCAAGCATAAGATGATATTAAATAAAATCCCTAATCAATTCGGCCATTTCCAGATTCCCTCATTCTTCTTCCCACCCGTGGGTTACCTTAAATGAGCTGCAAACATTTCGTCATAAGGGGGTTCCAAGACCTGCTGACACTTCTCTTCTGGGGAGGCCAACTAAACAAGAAAAATGGCAAAAATAAAATGAACAGGGACAGAAAGGGTGCAATGTGTAGAAACGGATTTAGACAAACCTTTATTTCAAAAGAATTTACACCTTAGAGTTTACAGTAACTTCGCACGTTAGCCCTTCTAAGTAAAGGCTCACGACTTCCACACAAGAACCACCAACGTAATAGTGCAGGAGAGGAACAGACTTTGTTCCGTCTTCCGCTGGCCAGGAAATAGTCTAGGCATATTCTTACACAGCTTAATGGTTAACAGCCGGCCAGTGGTTAATGAATGAACTGGAAGCAACACAAATCGTGCGGGAACTCTGCAATTACCAAACCAGAGTGGCAACATTCGTTTCCTTCTCATTCAAACGCTGAACTTCTCTTAGGAAGCAGGCGATGTGGAAACCCCCAGACGCGTTAGGGCCCTGCCACCTACCTGCAGCCGTGGGTTGGCAACGTGAGGATGCTTGAAAGACACCAGCTCTGCGCAGGACGCCCCGTCTCTGGTGTCAATGGCTTCATAGACCTGAGGCATTTGAAGATAAGCACTAAGAGGAAAATAAAGCCCCTGGTCCTCACAGGACCCAGATGACATACCATACTCCTCTAAACTTCACTTTTCCCTACTCTGAAAGGAGTCAGAATAATCAAAAAGCAGCAAGTCAGTGCTCCTCAGCGAGCAATCACTGCATTTCAAGATGAGATCCTCTGGAGGCAAACTAGTGACTTACTATTAAAAACAATGAAAGAGCAGAATAAGCCAGTGGTTTATTATCTGTTTATTAATGAAGGTGAATTATTCTGATTTTACTAAGTCATACTAATAGACATCTGAAAATTCACTTATAAAGCTTATGGAAAAGAAAAGTTTAAAACCCACATATAACCAAAACTCAAAAGGCTTCTGCTCAACCTAAATATAAAAAAAAAAAAGAGGGGAGGGGAATGGCCAAATAACTGTCACAGTCACACAACGGGACAAGTAAGTACAGGAAGAAATGCGGGGTCCAAGTGCCAAGATAATATTCATACACTAAACAGGCCGCACCAGATGATCCCGGCCAGTGGGATGGGAGCTGAGGGGCCGAGGAGATTTTTATTTCATGTATTTCTATACTAGAGGCCTGGATTACAGGAGACATTTTGTAATTAGAAAACCAAATGATATTTTAAAATTTTATTTATCAAAAAGTGACATAAAAATCCTAAGTGCAGGCAGAGCCAAGCACAAAACTGCACATACAGTATAATTTACCCACCATAAAATTAGATATGTAAACATTATGTACACGCAAGACTCTGGCCAGGGATGTCATAAAGAGGACACCCAAACAGCACACACACGAGAAGGTGCTCACACCACTACCCGCCAGCAAAATGCAACGAGAAACCCACACACCCACCAGCACAGTCAACACTGAAAGGCTGACCCATTAAGTGCTGCCAATAATACAAAGGAACAGGAACCCCCAGCCATTGCTAGTGGGAGGCGAGGAGGTACAGCCACTGGGGAACACTGAGCATGCTCCTCTCCTGCCCAGGCATCCCTGGCCGCAAGGAAGCGGCTGCAACCCACAGGGACGGCAGGTGACCCAGTGCCTGGTCTGCTGACACTCAGGGCAGCAGCTGGGAGAGCTCACACCACCTCACCTCAAACAAGTCACAGGATACAGAATCCGCCCCTTGACTATTCCACAAGGATGCACGCGCACTTACATCTGAGCAGCAATCCCACTCCTGAGGATCTACCGTACAAGAATCAAAAGATATTCGCGCAGGGCTGCTGTGGACGTGTTACACGTCATCACGAAACACACGCAATCAGTGTCCCTGTCTCAGGTAAACTGGCCAAGGCTGCCGTGGTTCCCGTTAAGGGTGTGTGAAGGAAACAGAAGGATGGCGACAGACGGGGCAAGTCTTAGAGAGCTGACGGCTCCTCAGCAGACACCAGGGTCACCCAACCCAGGTGCCTGCCCCGTCACTGTTAATGTATCCCGCCCCAGAACAGCAGGGTAAAGGAGGGTTCCTCTGAGAACGCAGGGAACAGGACCGAGAGGTCACTGGAGAAACAGGAGAACGTGGAACTTAGACCAGTCCAGGTTAGTGCACTAGCGTGTGGAGGTCTGAGCACTGGTAAATCACTCAGCAGCAAGTTTCACCCCGGCTCCACTTATCCTGTGCCCAGACTATCCTGAGCATCCACACTGGTCACTGCTCAAGGCAAGGGCAATGCCCTCCCACTCCCCAGAACCAAGTGGAAATAGGTGTGGGCAAGAGAATTGTAAAAGAGATATAAACATATGTAAAAGACGTAAGATATAAATGTGTAAAAGATATGAAGAGTATAAAATTCTAGAGTCTATATTCAAATTGGTTCTCAAATGTCTATGTTCTTGTTCAACTTTAAACTGATACTGAAAACTGTTAACTCTGCAAAGATAAGGCCAAGGTAGACCTATCCTTAAAAAAAGATCTTAGGCCTCAATCAAAAGACTGCAAATGAATATATGTTTGTATGCTTTTAGTTAAAACAAAAGCATGTACGTGGTTTTTCATGATTCCCGTTTAAACCAACTTTCTCAATTATTCGAACTAATACTTCCAACCACTTTGGACTATATTCAGTTGCCAGCAGACACCTCCAACTCAACACGTCCAAACTACATTTATTTTTCCCTCCAAATCTGTTCTGCTCTTCTGCTGCCCAAGCTAGAAACCTGGGAATCGTTCCGGACTCCTCCTCGTCCCCCAACCGCACATTCTCATTCACCAAGTCCTGGCAACGTCTCCTTCACATATTTAAAAAATCCATTCCCCCTTTTCATTATCCTTATTACCACGGTTCCAGTTCTGCGAATTAGCCCAGCTCCGCAGAGAAACCACAAGCTCTGAATCCATGAGTGTCTGTGTTTGCGCTATGCGGCTGCGTTTTCAGGCAGTATGGACAAACCCTGAGAGACACACTTCCCGCCGAGCGCTACACAGAGCAGCTCGCAGCGGGACCACCTGCTCCCTCCCCTCCTACCTCCACCCGTCCGCCCCCCTCCCGTCCCCGCCCCTAAATCAAGCGGGCGGCCTCCGCGGCTCGGGGGCCCCCGGACACGCAGTGCGCCTGCTTCCCGTCTGGCGGTCGAGGGCTCCGGCGCAGCGGCGAACACACTCGCCCGGGCTCCCGCTCCGGACAGCTCCGGCCTGCCCGCAAGGAAGCGGGAGGACAGCCCCAGCGTTACCTGCTGCAGGT